GTGGGGGTAAGCAAACGGGAGAAAGAGAGACAGAGAGTATCGCCCCATGCGAGACATTAATTCTCGCATCTGGAATTTATCGCGGCTACCACCACCATCCTTCCGGGTTGGCTGTTAGAAGGGTGGTAAAGGAAGGAAGAAAGAAAGAAAGGAAGGAAGAGAATATAGAAACGAAGAAGATTCCAAGCTTTGGGATTCGTAGCGTGCAACTCGCGGAACGTGTTGAATTATTTCCGATCTTCGAAAACGCGTTAGTCATTTTTACGAAACGAAGAAAGAAACTAAAGTAGGAAATGGAAGAGAGAGATAGAGAGAGAGAGATACTTAAAAGTAATGGAACGGAAATAATGAACAAATTTGTGAGATCTCTCGATTATTCGTTTATATTTTATCAAATACACATGTTTATGTATACATATAATATATAAAGAACATTTCTACTTCTTTCTTTCCTTCTTTCCCTATCTTTCTTTGTTGTTATCAATTACGTTGATTGTAAAATAAGTGAATTGAAACTGGGCAAGATGCGTTCCCTCGTATGGCAAAGTATAGTTTCAATCAGAGAGCGGCCGTAAGCGGATCTTTCTGGCTCGTAAGCGATTCGAGTGGGCGAATATCGCCGACAGGCAGGCACGTACGAGGAAAGTATCGGTGCCCGGTGTCGTTTTGGATCGGGTGCGCGAGATGCGTTATTGTCTGACAGAGACAGGGAGAGCCAATTTGCGAGCGGTCCTCCTATCGGAATTAAAGTCATAAAATCGCGGACTAATAGCCTTGTTACGTTAATTCAGTGTAATGTCGCGCAATAAAGATAAACGTAAGAGCGCGCGTATGCCCAAGCCCGCAACCAGACTGGCATAAATTTAATTTAACGACATAGAAGGACGAAGATGGGAAAGCGCCTTAAGAGGGATGAGAGAATGAGTAAGTGAATGAGTGAACAACGACTGACTGACTGAGTGAGTGAGTGAGTTAGTTAGTTCTTCAGTGAGTGAGTGAATGTGTAAGAGAGAAAGAGAAAGAGGAAACTCATCCCAGGGATAGAAGCGTTAAGGTCCCTCTTGATTGGAACCCTCGACTCCACCAACCACGTTTCATCGAATGCTACCTTGATTTATTTCCTTCAAATAAAAATATTACATGCCTCAACGATTACGACCACGATAACGATAGCGCTTCCATAATCGTCAATATTTAAATTCAGTGACCAGAGTAGTATATTTCATACGTTCGTTGATTTAATTTTGATTCATTTAAAATATACGAAATCCTATTGATTTTTAGATGAAAAGAAAATAAACACGATTGTTTTAATCTCTAGAATTTTATTATATAATTTTACCTCCTACTACTAAACGATAAAGTTATCTACTAATGAACCATAGAATCACCATAATTATGTAATCGCTGTATCAGTTATATATATAGGACGAGACTTCTTGGAAACGGCATCAAATGTTGTATCATTAACTATCGTGATTTATAATACTTCGATGGTTACCAATTTTTTTTGTATTTGCGATAACAAAGTCCTCTTCTAAATTATTCGTCCGTAAAGAAATAGATGTTAAAGCGATCTTAGAAAGGAAAAGATTGCTCGTGTACCGCTAAAAGAAGAACAAAATTTCAGTTTCCGGTTGTTAACGCGATTATTTGTTGCGTATATGTGTGAGATTAATCCACTTAAAGTACCGTGCTTCCCGTATCGTTCTTCCCATTATTATTACTAACCGGTAAAGTAATTGTATTTGATTAATTTTTAGAGGAAAAGAATATCGTTAATCGGATAAAAATAGGATATTGTTTCGTTTCTAAATAATTGCACGAAAAAATGATATTTTAATATCGATTAATTCCATTGTTAATATTACTCATTCGATAAAGTATTTATTTTTAGTTTTCTTTTATTTGCTAGAATTGAACGATAACGTTCAAGAATCTTAATCTCGTCGCTCACAAAATAAATCGGAATTTAACGTTTCTTGGCCATGATCCAAATTACGGTCTCGGGACCAACTCGAAGATTCATGATTTAATAGATGTATATAACAAAGGTCAGAATAAATATCGTTTTTAACGAAGACCGAATGAACGAACGAACGAAAGTTGAATTTAGCGTGATACATTTCTGAATTTCCTCGATCGTTCATGAAATATGATACCTTATATTTAATGCTTGTTAATGATATACGAAAATATGAAAATTGATGTTTCTATTGTTACGTAATTACGACTAATGCGTTACGGTATAATAATTAATCGATTATTTTCATGAATTTCAATGAAATTATTAGACCGTAACTAATAATTTTAGGATGTTTTATAGTTATTGAAAAATGTATTTCGTTTCTTTCGAAGAAACGATATTTCTTTAAAAATATCTTCCATAATATTTATCGATCGGTTTATTCATCGTCGAGTGCATTATAATTCTTTCTCTCAACAAGAGTCGGCAGACTAGAATGAATAATAAACCGGTCGGAGAAACACGTTCTGATTGAGTTAACTGGCAGCAAACGTCATTACACCATCAACTCGAGGACTTAACATCAAGGCCGTCGAGCGCGCAATCGTATAATCTCGACATCGTATTCAGGTCGTTCTTAGTTAATGTGAACCTCGATGCACCGAGTCGTTCGATGTAAAAGTATAACGTGCGTGCTACTACACTCTCTCACCGTAAAGAAATAAAATTCTTTTCTTAAATGTCCTTTTACCTTCTTTTAACCGTGTAACATTTCATTTCATTAAATAGATAAAAAATAATATTCTATTTACTTTATAATACCGATTGGGTATTCCTATGGAATAAAACTATCGGTATTAAAAGTACTTTCATGTAAATTTGAATATCATCTGATGAGATAGGAATTTTTAGTTTGCACAATGATATGAAATCTTTCGTGGCATGGGAAGATGGTTAAATCGTATCGTCGATTAAATCTTATTACAGGTATATATGTATCTCACGATATAAGTGCCTACGTAAATGCCGTTCCCCGAATCGTCGACACCATACCGAACCAAAATTATATACCGTAAACGATTTAACTTACATATACATATATGTATACATTACATGGATATATGCATATGGAAATATTTATATACAATTTTCCTACACATATGTATATATATATATACATGTATATAGGTATTGTATATACATATAGGAACGTACTTACTCTTCCATAGGTCTATACGCCAACCAGTATTATCTTATTTACGATGCGTCGTAATGATACCGCGTTCGCAGTCGTAAATTGCCGAGAAACGTCTCTTAGACTGACACGTAACACGGTGGAGGAGCTTGCGTTGCCATTACGGACATCGGCCTTCCAACTTGGACACGTTTTAACTATGCTAGCGTTCTGCATCGATCATCAACGACGTTGCCACCCACGCTGATTATCGATTCTCCCGAGAATTACGAATATTCTCGAAAGAAAATTGCTACGTGTTTGTTTTTTATTTTTTCATCAAGTTTTTTTTATGTTTAAATTATAAGTTTATAGATTGAAAAGTAATTAAAAGTAGAACTTTATCTCTCATAGATATGTAAATATTAATTAATTTTTTTTTAATTAATATATTTTGTTTTATTCGCGGATGTTATTGCTTTTCTTTATGTTACTTTGTGAGAAATATAATTAATAATATTCTTTATGTTACTTTGTGAGAAATATAATTAATAATATTCTTTAATTCCACCAAATATTTATTGAAAACCTTATTATTGATGGATTTAATTTTAAATGTTTGTATATGAATATTATATATAGGGAATTTATATTTATATATTCAATCATAAATGAAATAATTCCAGTAACTTTTTCTTTTCTTCTTCTTAACATCGGCAAACATTATTCTCGAAAATGAGATTCGACGTTTCATTTTATCTTTTGATCGTTCCACACGAACGTTCGCCAATTATGGCAACGCGCTTGGAAATCGACGAACGGAAAGATTACCTCGGCTTTCACACATATAAAGCAGGAGACGCCCCTGATTCTGGAGACGTTTACGTAACCGCTCGACGACGAGAGATGTGGTTTCTCTCTTCTCCCAAGAGAAGACGAGAGCTTGCTTCCGAGCGACATACTTAGCTCGAGATTTCCTCTTTTTATGGTCGTCATCGTCGACGAGCTCGTCGAGCTCGGGTAAATAAATAAATCGTATCTTTTTTCATGATTACGAGCAGGGAAGTGCAAACTACGTATTCTTTTCTTTTTTTTGTCCCCCTATAAAATATATTAAATAAAATAAAATAGAATGGACAGCGTTTTTTTTTTTTTATAAAAAATAAATTATAAATTAACCAAATTAATCAATGTCAATTGCGTTGAATAGAAATTCTACATTCGATATTATATCTCTGATTTTATTTAACATCCTAGAAATATAAACTTTGAAGTATATTAATAAATAACAACTGGCGAGAAAAAGAGAGAGAAAGAGAAAAAAAAAAGCAGAAGTATTATTTATTTTTCGAAGAAACTAATAAATTTCAGTCTTCATTCTGAAGCAAACGAGTGTTAAGGGAACGGAGGCATTCTATCTCGTCAGCATAATTATAGCAGTGAGTCTGCTCGCGGTAGAGTGCGTGTTATAGCTCATAAATATACGTTTTTCAATCTCCGACAGCTTTCTCGCGTTTCCTTCTTCAAAAGTTTTGTTGTTTCTGTAACACGTCGCGGCATCCAGCTACGAAGGTCGTTTGAATCAATGCCAGAAGCCGTTGTTTTTTTATTTCGATTTGATCTTTATGGGGTTACATGTTATTCCGAGGGAACGTTATGGGTAGTAGTAATAGTAGTAGTAGTAGTAGAGAGTTAACCGAGTCTAAAGGGAAAGATAAGGATAAGGGGATAAAGATAAAGATAAAAATAAAGATAAAGATAAAAATAGAGATAGAGAAAAAAAAGATAAAGAGAGAAAGATAATATGTGAGTAATGCCGTATATTCTTGTTTTTTTCTTTTCATTTTCTTCTTTTTATAGATTGCAACGCGACCTTGGAGCCCGGATCAGGGCAAGACGCGAGAAATGACCAAGCTCTGCAACCATAAGAGGAAACTTTTGCTACCGAGCGCAGCAGCCAGTCCTGTTGCCGCCTCCTGTACCTTGCCGGTCTCCTCTTCGACTTTATCTTCTGGACCAACGCCGTCAACGGCAACACCGACTGCAACGGCACCGATTCACGCCGACTCGCCCACCTCGCCGGACAAAACCAGAAAAGGTACGTTCTGATATTACCACGATTATCCCCGTTTTCCTTTTCTTTTCTTTTATTTTTTCGAAAGAACCGCAACATTAATTAAGTAACACTAAATAAATACTTCCTGAGAGTATATCGTTTACTTTAATCAATATTCTAGTTCGATTAATATCGGAACATTGTAAGAAATTATCGGATGATATTTTATTTCTTAATAAACATTAAACGTATTATGAACAACGATCCAGTATGACCAGTTTTTAGATTTTCAATTAATATTTTGCATTCGATGTTTTTTTTTTATTTTTATTTTTCTTTTTTTTTTCATCCGACTTAAAATTAATAATTATAAATGTAGTTTTATTATTATCTATAATAATTATTACGGTTATTATTTAAATTATTATATTATATCGGCTCATGTGTGGTTTCTCAATTAAAAAGAAAAATATAATTTTGTTTTTAAACCGGTTATACTATAATTAAATGTACACAAGCTACCGGTAGGAGGTGTAGTTTTAAAAGCAATTAGGAGAAAGAAATGAATTATTTAATTTTTTTCCTGTGTTTTTCGTATAAACGAAGTATAAAAGTTTATAAGAAATTCAAATAATCGATCGTCAAACATTTTCAATATAAAGTTGGTAAATCAGGAATAACGAGTATCCATAAATACTTTAGTCTTTAGTAAGGAATTGGTAATCCATCAGGTTGAACTTTTTATCCTTTAGTTAGGAACACATATAAACGTGTGATTCGGAAATAAGGTAAAAAAAAGTTTTCTTCGATCGATTGGTCATTCTTCGCGTATTAACAAAGTTTTTCGACGGTAAGCTGAGTCGTCGCCACGAAAAAGACTATCCCGCGTTTATTCGACCTTTCTCTCCCTCTCCCTCTCTCTCTTCTTTCTCATCGTATCCTCGAGTGAACATCGGGAACACGTGCCAACTCTTATTGGAGGAAGACCAAAAGTTTTTCTCCTTTCTACGGTCGGGAACGATCATTAGGAAAAAAGTCGTCGCCTTGTAAGGAAACGAAAGAAATGGTGAAGAGAGAGAGAGAAAGGAAATGGAAAAAAGAAAGATAAAGGAAGATAAAGATAGAAGAGAAAATAAGAGAACAAAAAAAAAATAAGAGAAAGAGAGAGCGAAATTGCGGCATTAGCGGAGAACCAGACCGTACCCTCTTTTCGCGCGATGACATTAAACCTTCGAATACTGTGTGAGATACGTGGTAGGAGTAAAAGTCGAGGGTGGTGGTGGTGGTGGTGTGAGGTGGGGGAGGAATGATGTATTACCACCGGCAGCGAATTCTCCACGGGATTTTCATTACCAAATCCCGTAACTGTCGGACGACCGCGCCTGTTTTTTTTCTCTCTCTCTCTCTTCTTCTTCTCTCTTACTCTACTCTTTCCTTCTTACCTTTTTTTTTTTCTGTTTCTTTTCTCCTCCTCCTCCTCTCATCTCGTTAATTAAACGGCTGTTACTCGAAACGTCTAGCTAGCTCGTCGTGCAAAGACTCGTCGGTGGTAACTGCCACAGCTGCTCTTTCGTTTCTCTCTTTTTTTTTTCTCCCTCTCCGTCTCTTTCTCTCTCTCTCTCTTTCTTTCTTTCAAAATCACTGAAATTATGATTGTACGTTCAAATTAAATTCTAACGCCCATACTCACGTTTCGCGATTCTCCACCCACTTTCCTTCCCCCTTCACCCTCTCCCTTTTCTCTCTCTCTCTCTCTCTTTCTCTCTCCTCTTTTTCTGTCTTTCTCTTCGTATTCGCTCGATATTAAAAGGACGAACGAGAATGTGATTAGTGAAAAGCACGCTCGCGTTAATGGCGAGGTAATAATTAATCGTCGCTTAATACCCGTCCGGTCACGTGTTTGTCGACCCGCAGAGACAACAAGTCGTTACGCGAGTGAATTGAAATTTTCCACGGAACGATCACGCCATTATCGAAAATAAACGCGACGAGTATCGTCAAGTCGGTGGGGAGGAGAGATCGGGGAAGAAGAGGGTGTGGTTCGATTTATTCGTCTATTCTATCACGATTGATTCGCTAAGATATTTTACACATTTTCCCGTTATGATAATAATCATAATTTTAACTTTTTGTTCATTTTAACACATAATATTTGTTCGATGATTTTTAAAAACATTCTTCGTACGCCCCATCGCGTAAGTGTTTATAGAAATTTATAGGAATATTTTAACAATGACGAGTTCTCTTAAGCAAGCTAAAAATATAAAATAAAATAGAAAAAATGAGAGAGAGAGAGAGAGAGAGAAAAGAGAAAATGTCTGCGCTTAGTGTCGTCTAAAGTGATGCGAAGCGGTGATGCAAGGTAGTCGAGAGGACCGGATAGAGAGATCGTAGTCTTCACCCCTTCAATGACACTCCTGCCCTTTGAAGATCGGTACAAGGGCGAAAAGAAACGGGAAATGAAAGGGTCTTGTGATTTCTCTCTTATTCTTTCTGCTTTTACACGCTCCAAGCGTGCACCTACAACGTGCATTTTCCTCTTTCACATTTGCGAGAAATGACGTCTCTTTTTGTCTATTATTGTTATTATTATTATTATTATTATTATTATTATTATTTTTCGTTTCTTCTGCCTTATTATTTTTTTATACGACATAAAAATGTCCACGTATAAATTAGAGCTTTAAAAATAAAAAAAACAAAAAAAAGGCATTATTTGTGTAATTTAATAAAAAAATAAAACAAAAAGTACTCGGTTTCGACGAAAAGTTGTGAACAAAAATTTTAATAAATTTCTCTTATAGCTCCTTTAATCTTTCTTCTCTCTTATCTCGTTAACTCTTAATAGTGGTTATTTTAATTCCCGTCTTTTGAAAAAGTAGTTGTGTTAGTAATAGTGATAGTAGAATGAAATTAAAAAGCGTCTACGAAGCGGTTGACAAGAACGTTTAAATAGCTTTTTAACCGTACGTGTATAAAAGTAAAAGAAGAAGAAGAAGATGATGAAAAAGAAGAAGAAGAAGAAAAAAAAGAGGGAATTGGTTAGCTCGTGACATTTTATACCTTATATCATAAATTCCGTTTGAAATCGTATTAGATATACGTAAGTGCTATATAGAAATCGTAGACAGAAAAATAGTAGGTCCAAATAAACGAATCACGGAAGAGTAGTAGGGTATTATCGTGTTCGAGGTGTGTTGGATATTACAGCATACTGGGCGGTATAAATTGAATTCCGTTGTGAAACCGTTACGACGACAAGGGGGAAGGGGAGTAGGAGGAGGATGGCATGGGTAGTTAGGGGTAGGAGGTTGGTTGGTGGAAATGCATTATACACTCGAGCAGAATCGTCCATCCCCATTTTGTGGCGTGCTCGCGCATGCCCGTTCACGATTTTATGCCCTCTTAAACAATTTCCACTCGTAAACAATTTTCCCCTTCTTCGACGATCGATCATGCCTGTCTCACGTCGGCGTAATGCGTGCTGGTTAAAATCCGACGTCCCAACGTCGAACGATCTCACGACGCATCGTCGTGTGCTTCATTGCGATTCGTGTATTTTGCGGTTCTCGCTTTTTCCATCTCCTTCCGAACTCTTGTATCCATCTATTATTGGCATCAAATATTCTCCAGAGGTTTAACCCTACAGAGAATTAATGTATTCGCGATTTTAATAAACAACATGGCATTAAGTCGTTTGTCATCGTAAAATTGTCGTTCGTTTGACGACGAATAAACTCGACATGAAAATTTTAAGCCTTTTCTTTCTTGATTATTCGAAATGAGAAAAATGATTGAGGGGGAAAAAAAAAGAAAGGGAAATAATACAGTAAATTGTTAGAACTTGTTATTTAACAGCGCTAATATGCGAAGATTGGAATTCTAAAGCAGAGTATCTTCCTTCATATATATATATATATGTACAAGTATATAAGTATACATAGGTATCTGGCGAACGACCGTTTTCCATTCTGTCTATCAAAAGGAAATTGAAAGGATCCTTTTGATCTGCTCCTATGACGCTTATCGCTTTTGCTCTTGATAACATGTCGTGGATAACGCGGAACTGTGATGGAAGAAGGAAACGCGCACCCTGCGAGATGTCCGGAAAAGGGACCAATCGGCCGTTCGTGTCTTCTTATCGTGCGGCCGATCAATAAGTCCCGGGAGGAGGAAAGAATCCGCTCTCTATTCGCTACCAACGACAAGCGATGCATGGTGGTGGTGGTGGTGGTGGTGGTGGTGATGGTAGTAGTAATAGTAGTACCAGTAGTAGTTGTAGTCACAGTGAAGGAGATGGCGATAGAGCTGATGTTGCTGGTTGTGGTGGTACGGCTGCTGCTGCTGCTTCTGGCGATGGTGGTGGTGGTGGAGAAGCCCGGACGACTCTCAAGGTGGGGAAGGCAGGCATCCCTATCTTCGTCGTTGCTGGTAGACACAGACTTGATAAGGGTTAATTTCGTACCAAGAGATGGGGTGAGGAGGGGTGGGAGTAAGGGAGCGAGCGAACGAGCGGGTTCACGCATACAAGCGCGAGGCACACATCAACGTGAAACGCGAGACGAGCTTGAGAGTAGATGAGAAAGGAGAAGAGACGGTGGTTGGTGGTAGTTCGCGGTCTCGCGACTGTCCGCTCGTGATTCTTGCGCCTGCCCGGACTAACGTGCAATCCCTTGCAATCTCTTTCTCCTCCTCGACGTTCTGTGTAGCCCCTCATTGTCGCGCAAGCGCACTTCAAATCACAAGTATTCAGTCTGCAACGACGCCTCGACCACGAAACGTCTGATCCGGGCTAATCTCCAATGATCGCCGGCAACTCGCTTCTTGGCTGTCTCGAAAGTCGAAGACTTTCTCTACGTTATCGTCGGGAAAACGACGATCCACTTACTTTTCATGCTGTGAGTTTACCTTCCCATACTAGTCACCAGTTAACTCACGTTCCTTCCTTCCGATCGCTTTGGTATCGCTTTGGTATCGCTTCGTGTGCACCGTCAATCGAGTTAGTGGAATACCAACGATGTGTTTATACATCCTATAGTTTTACTCGATATCTATCGACGAGATCACATTCGAGAGTCAACACAGAGTGCATTTAGAGTTTAAAGAGTGTTACCGTCCTAAACTATTAATATCAATCGTATTACTTTATGCTCGAATATTTTCTAGTTTTTCTTTTTTTTTTTTCTTTGTTTTCCTTTCAATACTACGTGTTATCGCGACTAGTATTATTACGTAGTCCTAATCATTAAGAAGATTTACAGCTTATATTGTTGACTACAGCATCCTTGAAAGTAGGGGCGGAAGGGAATGATTGGCGCGTTGATGTGAAACTCCCTCGGAAGCCACAAAATGCTTCGAAGATTTTACGCAAATCTTCGTCCCCTTGAAAATCGGGTTAAACCGCCGCCACTAACAGAGATAGAGATAGAACAAGATAGGGAGGGAGAAGGGGTGAAGGAGAGAGAATGAGGAGGTGCCTTACTGCGGAGTTGAGATTCATTACTAGCCGCACCCCCTACCACCTCTCGTTCGTTCTCTTTCTTCTCCTTCGTTTCCTTCGGCCCGAGTTATCTCTTCAACCCCATTCCATTGGTGTTCACGCTGGAGAATAATTATCCGTTGTAGCTTTACAGATAAAAGACCCCCCGTTGAAAGCCACCTTTTCTCTCTTCTCGTTCGCCCTTCATCCTAGCCCTCGTAAATCACAGCAATTTCGAAGTGTCGACTGTTATAGCACTTTACCGGCACTTGTGTACACTGGGTCGATAACTTCCGGCATAGATGCTTTTGCTAATGTTTACAAATGCTTATTCGAACATTTTTTAAGCGACCTCATTTTATCTTTAGCATTATTATCTCAAATAATAAAAAAAGTTTTTAACATACTTTCAGAGATATTGTATAGTTCCGTTCTTTGTTTTAATAAGTTTTTATTCGATAAAAATGTTTTCTTTTTGAACTGATAATTTATAATTGACTTGTATTTTGCTTACATCAATGCATTTTATATATGTACATAATTATATATTTGTAATAACATTGTTATTCATTTGTATGCGCAGATGGTCTCAGCAAGAAAAAGAAGAGAAAACTGGGGGGTATAGGGGGCTTGTATTCTGGAGTTTCTGTATCGCAACTTCTGGCACAACGGGAAAGAGCCATTGCTGCTGTTTCTACGTCAGGAGTTCAAGGTTCATCGGTGCCTAATGGATCGCAGGTAAATATTATTCATAATTCTTCTTTGATTATTCTGACGATAATAATTGCTTATTACAAATTCGCTTTTCTTTGTAGGTGTGGCCAATAGCGATCCCTAATTTGCAGATCCAACAAAGCAATCAACAAATCTGCCATCAGTCGTTAAATTCACCCTCTCAAAATCACGACGTGAATAGTTCAGCTCGAAACACTCAACAGCGGTTAAATCAGCACAATATGCCTGGGATGCTTATGGGAAATCCGTTGATTATGAATCAACAAAGTACTAATTTCAACAATATGACTCAACAACAGCAGCAGCTTTTGCAGCAACAGCACCAACAATTATTACTGCAGCAACAGCAGCAACAGCAACAGCAGCAACAACAACAACAACAGCAGCAGCAACAACAACAGCAACAGCAACAACAAATGATGCAGCAGCATTTATCGCAGCATCAACAGCAACAGCAGCCTCAACAACTTATACCTCATCACCAACAGATGCAACATATGCCGTTGTTACAACATCAAGAACAGCAACAACAGCAACCACATCCAAATGCTATAGTAAATCAATTATCGCAACAGCAAGTTCCTCATTATTTAAATCAGTTGAATCAACAATCCTTGCACGTTATGCAGCAGCAACAACAGCATTTGAACCAACAGCAACAGCTTCACATACAACAAATTCAGAAACATAATATGCAACCGCAACAACAACAGCACTTAGCATCGGAAATGGATCAACAACAAACAGGAAATTACAATTCTCAAATTCCTCAAGAAGGTTATGTACATCATTTACAATCTTCGCAAATGTCGCAGCCTGTTCTTCATTCGCAATTGCATCAGCTTCATCAACATCAAATACAACAGCAGCAACAAGATCAGCATGGTATGCAGGCTCAAACTATTGATCCATTTCAAATGCAAATACAACTGCAGCAACAGCAGCAACATCAACAGCAGTTGTCACAAATGTGCGTGCAAGCTCAGTATTCTAATCAGCAATTATCTCATCATACGATGGATATTATACAGCAATCTAACGGCGGGTCCGTTATGAGTGGAATCAATTCTTCTGATATGCAAAATAGACATAGTCGAACTCAATCAGTAACGGAAGATGATTTAAGTGCGAAGCAAATGCAACAGCAGCAGCAGCAGCAGCAGCAACAACAACAACAGCAACAACAACAACAGCAGCAACAACAACAGCAACAACAACAACAACAACAGCAACAACAACAACAGCAACAACAGCTGTTGATGCATAATCATAATTTGCAGCGACATCAAATTGTAGAGAATGGAAATCTGTCAAATAATCCTCACGAAAATGCACAACGAATGTATACGCAAGGTCAAGTTCAGTTTCCAGCGAGAAACTTTGATTCTCAGAAGATATCAACTGTGGAAGCCAAATTTGGTCATCAGCAACAATACACTTTAGTCAGCCATGCGGGAAGAAGTCCAACTATTAACCATGCTACAGAAGTACAATCGGGTATGGGACCAACTAGCGGACAAGCAGGAACTATACATTTTAACACGAGAGCACCGCCGTGGCAGCAAAATCGTACGGTTGTCACGACCAATCAATCATCATTAGCTACTGTCCAGAATATCACCTGCAACTCTTTCGATCGTGTTCCTCCTCTCCATCATCACATTCCACAGACGTCAACCTGGACAGACGAGGTAGCAAGGAAAAAAGCCAAGTCAACTAAGAGTATGATGAAAAAACAACGTCAGCATGGTACATCAGATATAAGAAGCAATAATGGTCTCGATCAACCAATACCAAGTCCAATTGATGAATTTAATGACAAAGTGCAACAAAATAGCGATCAAATTGGTTCCACAGTCAATAGCAGTGGCCCCTCATTTTTAGAGGATCCTAGTGGTTATTTAGCACAGCAAACTGCTCTATTAAATAGTACGATATCGCGACAAACTGGCGTTAATAACACTCAAGTAGCCATATTGAACAACCCAAAAGTACAACAAACGAATCATAGTACTCATACAGCGAGTAATCCCTATCTTGCACAACCAAAGCCTTCTTCTGCTGCCAGTCCTTCAAGTACAACATTCAATTCTGTGAAAAATCATGCCACTTCACCAGTAGTGGTCCATAGTAGTATGACGCCGACGTCTAGTAACGGTGCCATTGATTCCGATGGTAGCCCTTGCCATGGATGCGTTAGCAGTGGTGACAATCAATCCTTCGTTCAAGATCAATACAACAAACAGCAATTACATCGACAATACGTATTGCATTCTGATCAACGCGAGGATCCTGTTACATCGTCGACGTTTGGTGAGAAATATCAAGGGAGTCAACAACAAATTGATTCGAGACCTATTCAAGGAGGCACTGTTAGTACTAGTCACGGTTCACCGATCGGTACAAATAGTCCGGCCAATTCGGATGTCCCAGCTTCCTCGACACCTGGAATATCTCAACCAGCAACACCTCAAAGTTTAACTTCATCCCAACCATCGACTCCGCATAGTTATTCGCAACCACCGACACCCCATTCTCTCGCATCGTCGTCTGGTCAAATACCGTCTCAACCTTTAACGCCACACTCTCATCCATCTTCATCAAATCAGTTTGCAACTCAACCGTTAACTCCTCAGGCACCACAACCTTCGCAATCATCGTCTAATAACAGTTTGGAACAGCACTTGGAAATGTCATGTTCAGTTGCAAATAATCCCAACATTATTTCACCAAGTACATCCCCTTCCCAAACGTATTCTACGCCTATGGACAATATAACGTCTCAGCTACCAAAGAGACAGACTGTTAGTACGAGACAGCTATCGCTAGATGGTTATCAACCACATCCACATACAGTGAATACAGTTTCAAGGATACCATTAAATTCTTTTACCAGTACGTCGTCCGTGATAACGACTATGGCAAGCGGACACACGGTTAGTAGTAATACAATTACCTCTGTGCTTGCTGGAAGAGCGAATACGGCGACCGTATCTATAAATACGCCCTTGGGGATGCCCAACCCCGCTATTTTAAACATTCTTTCCAATAAACCTCAGCAGCCAACAACGGCACCGCCTGCTCTCGTGAATGTAACAGCGACGTCAACGACGGCGCATCATCCGCATTCGATTCCCCTTACACCTAGTCAATCGTCGACGATCACAGTATCGAAGTCACCATTGGAGATGGTTCAAAGCGTAGTAAGTAGTATTCAGGTACCTCAAGCGACAACTAATTCACCAATGCCGCAGACTCAACAACAGCAACATCAGCAACAACAACACCAGCATCAACAGCAACAACAGCAACAACAGCATCAACAGCAGCAACAACAACAACAACAACAGCAACAACAGCAGCAGCAACAGCATGCTCAGCAACAGCATGCTCAGCAACAGCAGCATCCGCAATCAAACGTTCAAGTTCACAATGTCCTTACTTCTGGTGGTATATTAAAACATCCAACAGGATCTACTTTGCCACCTGGACATATCTTAGTGTCCAGTGGTGGACAACTCATAATGGCAAGCACCGGGTCTGCTATTAATGGTGTGATGGCACCACCACCTCCAAAAATCATCTCTAATGCGAATTCAATGCCACCGTTATCCGTTTCGCCGATGGTCACTAGTGTAACCGGAGCAGTTAGCCAAGTTATACCAGCAGTTGGTGTAGCTCAGCAAGTGATAGGACAACCAACGGTTTTGGTTAATGCTATACAAACGCCGGTGCTTATTCAACCCGGTGTTATGACGATGGACAGTATTGGACAAAATGTACAAATACCTCATCTCACGGTTGCTACCGGGAACGTAATACAAAATGCTCAGTCTATCTTAGACGCGAATCAAGATGTAACGAGAAACGTGAGTACAAATCAGGGTATCGTGAATCGCCAACCGGCTCTACTTTCTCCCGAATCCGCGCTGAGTAAAAAGAAAGCGTACAAAAAACGAAAGACCAATCCTCAAACCGTAGCGTCGATGCTTCACATTGCTTCGTCTCAACAAAATGCGGGTATGCTAATGCAATCGCAATCAAATTTTGCACAGCAAAATTTCCAAGCACACAGCATAGGCGGGCCGATGTTACAGGCCCTAACAATTGTTCCTGGCAAAGGCGGTGCACCCGCTCAATTGGTCATGAATGGTCAAACTGGTGCAACGTCCGCGCAATTTAACACTCAACAGATTATAACGAATCCTCAACCTGCTCAACAAATAAATCTTTTACAACCGGTTAATTTGTTAAATGGAGCAGCTGGAATGGTACAGAATTTCCCTACCATTCAACAATTTATCGTGCCTGGAATAGGAAGTATGGTCATGTCTGCCGACGGTACTGCAACTTTATTGCAAGATACTGGAAACATTGGAATGCAGCTACAAATACAAAATGTAAATGGTCAGAATGTCCTTACGCCGGTACAAAATCACAGCGGAATATTTAGTCCGAGTCAAAGTATTTTGACAGCTGGACCGGCTGGGATGGTGATCAGAGCACCGCAAGCAACTGGCAGCAAGATCATTCAACAGCACAGTCCTGGTGCACAGTTCCTGTCTCCAAATAGTGGTCAATTTCTAGTGAATGGAACGACATCTTTTGGGAATCAATTGAGTCCAATAGTGGCCAATGTTAGTCCCAATCAACAGGTGACATTTAATACGTCTCAGGTTAGGCCACCCAATATGCAGGGCCAACAGGAATTTATACAAATGAACGGCCAAACGTTGATGGTACCATGTGCGACCGCTCAAAATATAGCCGTCTCATCTGCACCGAATCAACAGAACACAACTTTTGTTCAACAAAATACAACGATCGTTCAACAACAAACGACTATGGTATCGAACAATCAGATACCAAATTTTCAGGCAGCGCCTTCGAATAATGCAGGGGCCGTTGATCCGGCTTTAAATTTAGATCACAACCAGCCATATATTCTCAGTTCGGGCATGATCTCAGGAAAACCGCCATCTTCTCCAAAAAATAGCATTAACTCTCCTACCTCCGATCAAAGCATGGAACAGCAACAATACGTTCTGGCTAGTAGCAGCACTTCCGTTGTCGAAAAAACGGGACAGCAAATCGATCAACACAATCCGTTGATGGCAAGGCATTCCGTATCTACTCAAACAGCTGGTAATCAGGCAAACATAGTACAGTCGGCGATAATGAGACAGGGTTCTCCGCCAGATACGACTACGCACAGTCCAGGAAATAGTCAGCGGTCAAATAGCCCGGCTGTCGATACGACAACGCATGGAGCAGCTTCCCCCGCACCACCAATCAGTGCCAGACAACATTCTTCATCTACGGTAATATAGGAAGCAATATGCATAATACTCTGTAGTAATAATTATTATTTTTATAATCGTATATTTATATTTTCTGTCTTAATGTTAAAGGATTTTGACTTGAAGCTAGCGTGAATTAGAATATTTTATTAATGCTTTTAGCCCATGGTTCATTGCGTATCAAGCAGCGAACCAGATTCTGGTGACATCACGATGGCGTCAGAAGATTGGAGGATTCAGGGTGTTACCACGAAAGAGATCACACTAAGTCAACCCAATCTACACGGGAAGACTTACGTGGAATCGACGGTGACTACTGGGATCCAGGTTGGTACCCATGTAGAACAGGGTAACCGTCATCTAGCTCTAATAGACATGCATCAGCCAGCCGATACAACACACGCAGAAAACACATACGCTGACTCACAGGAGCATATGGACACATCATCACCAAATCATTCCATTTATTCAGACACAATGGACCACTCTCCAGTGGAGGATCAGCTGAGCGTCCCTAAAGATATAACGGATATCTCTCATCAAGAGATCGATGTCAATAATCCGTTGCCTGTTGTAGGACAAGCGCATTATCAACCGATCCTCTATCATAGTCATCATTATGTGCCTAATACGAACGTGTATCGGCAGCAAGCCTTAGTGCCAGATCATGCTCATTATACGATGCTACCTCACGCGAATAAATTTGATCCGAAGACTTGCGATGTTGATCTTCACCATAATATCGTCGAGGAAGATAGCGATCAAAATTCCGAAGATAAGACTTTGGAACGAGAAAATATTCCCTATTGTCAACCTAATGTTGCCTGTCAAAAATTTATTGGCGTCGGTATCGCCCAACCAGGTCTTTATCCTCATTTATATAATTATAGGTCTGACCCTAGTGGCATTGCTGTCGTTAATTATTCACCCAACAAACAGGCGTATTTAAATCCTTACGTTTACAGTCAACTTGCATATGCCCAAGAGGGTGATGATGGGGAGGAGAGTGATTCCTCGCTGGAGGAATAGCATCTTTCTTTCCTACGGTCGATCAATTAACTTTTTATATATTTGTATATTAAGAAAATTAGGTTCCACAGTGGCTGCTGCGGATGATTAATGGCGAAACACATTCATTGCGAACCCCATCATAAATTTTTAACATTAAGTTTGTAATTAGTTTGTATCTAATGTTAATTTTACTTTTTATACGCGTCTCGAGACGCGGAGCGTATAAATGCTCGATCATCTATAGCGTTATTATTTAAAACGTAAATACATTGCAATAATGTAAGCGTATTATTAACCGTGTGCTAAGCGGATTATTCGAAAAGATCATGATTCTTTATAATGAGAAAAAATAAATCTTTTGCTAAACAATATCCTTCTGATAATCGAATCATATAAATCTATATATACACATATATACACACAAACATACCTTTTGACAAAAAAATGAGCATGCGTAAAAAAGTTTGAGTTTGTTTATCTCGTATATTGCTCTTGTTTGCATGCCAAATCGAAGTATGACAATCGAACGTGCTACCTTTCTCGTGTTATTATCGTAAACGCGGTGCTAGAAGTCTGTGACTGTTATCTAAGATAGATTCTACTGTTGCCTATGTCTTTCTTCATTTTTCAAACAGCTTCCGAGTAAAATATATAATCAATTTTTACGATAAAAAACCAAAATCATGGAGAAAAAAAAACTATATCCGGTTGATCAAATCATTCTCGTGTGCTTTCTCCTAAATGCTCGGACGATTCGAAAGAATGATGACGCTATTGCTGAGAATAAAAAAAAACAATACATGGTTTAATGCGTACAATAGTTGGAAGTGTTATTATTGATATGATATTAGCATGCGGTTGGTAAGCTTGTGCCTGAGTTGATCGAGTTGTATTTGACAGATCTATACGTCAGAGACGTTGAAGCAAGCGGAAGGTGTGGTGAGCACGGAGAGGTGCGAGGGCAGGGAACATGCCCTCGGCCGAGGAATCAAGCGAAAGTTGGAGTCCATCCATTCGATGCATTCCACCCTGCATGAAGACCAAGATGGTCAGTATTTTGTACGGTACACACTTAGATATTAATTAAACATCAATAGCTAGATATTAATTTTCTTTCGATTAATAAAATAAAATTAAATAAATAGGAAGTATTCTTGCATAAATTGTTGAAATATTTGTAGAGATCGAATATTAATTAAATTCTTGAAAATGGACACGTGTATTTGAATAATTGTTTTCTTTTCGATTTCCTTATGTGCGAGAATACTTCTTGAAAAAGAAAATAGAAAAAAATTGTGCAAAAAAGGCAATGTAAATTTTTTGTAGATCTTGAATATTTCTTAATTATTAGAAACTATTAGAATATTTTCTACAAGCTCTCTTAAATTGTTCTTTTTATTTTATATAAAATTAGTCACTTTAAAAAAAAAAAAAACAACAAGAGAAGCACGTGAACGTGATAATTGTAAAAGTTGAAAAAAAAAAAAAATAATAATTAAACAAAAAACTAAGTAGGAAAAATTTGGTACGAGGGGAACGTTATTATCGGTCATGTATCTCTTTTATTTAAATATATATTTGATTATGAAATGGCACGCGATGTGTACTATAAGAAACGTTATTCAAACTCACATTTGCATTGATATTTGCACGAACTACGGTCTTTCTTCGCTTGTGCATGCTTAGCATAACGCGCGAATTCATGTGGTGCTTATTGGTTGCATGGTAAATTGCTTTTGTAATCGTTTGAAGGTGTTGGAAAATTCTTCATTTTATTCATTGTAACTTTTAACGGTCATTTATCTTTCTTTTATCCTACGATAAAAGCCCATAAATATATTTATTTATTTATTTATTTATTTATTAATTTACTTACTTATTTATTTACTTACGCACGTAATATGATATCGCGTGTGTAAATAGAGAAATGAGAGTGAGAGAGAGAGAGAGAAAGAGAGAGAGAGAAAGAGAGGGAGAAAGAGCAAAAACAAATAACATTTCGTCATAAAGCTGCTTTATCATTAATTACATTCGCACGAATGTTTATGGAACAGGTAAGTGACGTCAGTACTAAACGGATTTCATTTTATTATTCGCGTATTAAATGTGTTAAATACGTTAAATAACTATGTTTAAAAATATTCGTTACTTGTAAATAATATATATCAAAGTTTCGTTGCGTTTACTAATTGGCTGTCAGGTTTGTTAATATCATGTTCTCGCAATCACATCGAAATATGTGGCCAGGGAGCTTCAATCATATAAGTTCACTTAGTAGGGGGTGTGGCTCATCGATTTACGGCGTTACCTGTATATACATATACATATATTATTCATTCTCACATAATTTTTTGTACATAATTGCTATGGCATGCGCGCAAATACGTCGTGGGTGAAAATATTGACAAATTCTATAACAAATTTGGCTTTCAAAAAATTGTATAGAATTTTAGGAATATTATTAGATTTCATAAGTATATAAGAAATTATAATGGCAATGGTAAGATTTGAATTTATCGAGTCATATTTCTGAAATCTTGATCTCATTCACTTTTATAAAAAAAAATTCTAATTTAAATATAAATTAAAAATTATTTATTACCTCTGAAGAGTGTATAATTTAAATGAAAATTTAGAAATCATGACACATATGATACAAATAAAAAAAATCACTTGCATGTGCTCTCACACGAACAACTCGATATATTTTATCCCACTTCTGATTTCGCCTTATCATCGATGAATGATGCAACTAATTATTTTTAACGAGCACTCGCGCGAAGCAAGAAGCACATTTCGGAGGATGGACAAATGTACGGCTCGATGTAAAAGACGTAGTTGTTAAATTCTAACAATTCACCAAAGCAACACCAACTACGAAACTAATTTTTCTATGACACGCACCGCAATTATAATTAAGCGTTTCATTGTTTTGCGTTGCACATCTGAAACAACAATTAACAATCAAATACCGAAGATCTGTGTAAACTCGTTTGATATTTATTTAAAATACGTCTACAAAATAACGTACATATATAATTATTATTATTCACTAAAGAATATAATTTATTATGATAAACACTCTCTATAATCGACTTACAATATATTTTTACTATACTTTCAAAATGTCAGGTATTTTCTTCTTTGCACTCGAGTAAAAAAAAAAGAAAAAACAAAAAACCATATGCTCTTAATATCAAACTAAAATTATATTTTTTTCTCTAAATAAATAATATCTATTAATCTTCAATATTATTTTCACAAACTTTGTATATAATAATACATATATTAATATTAATTTCACAAATGATCGATGTGCAAAGAGCGATTATTTCAAAAATACTTACGAGCTTGCAACACGTGTCTGAATTTCAATACCGTGCACAATTCCATTTTTTTTTTCGACAATTTCTGTTCTCGATAATATTTGATTCCTCTCGCACCATGTAAAATATAAAACGAGCCACGAGCCCCGTTTAAAAGAAACAAACAATAGTAAAAAAAAAAAAAAAGACAAAAAATATAACAACAAGAGCAACAACAAAATAGATAAGAAAATAAGAAAAAGAAAACAAAGGATCGTTGTTTGGAATCCTCAGTAGCCGAGACAAAGGTGGAGGAGAAAAAGCATTGGAAACTGGAAGTGGGTGAACTCGTGTGGGGTGCAGCAAGGGGGAGTCCCGCATGGCCGGGTAAAGTCGAGTCCTTGGGTCCACCGGGCACGATGACAGTTGGGGTCCGTTGGTACGGGGGAGGGGGCACTCTCACCCAGGTCGATGTCAAGACCCTCAAGTCACTCTCCGAAGGCCTCGAGGCACATCATCGTGCCCGAAAAAAGTTTCGGAAGTGAGTTTAATTCTCGCCCTCTTTCAAATCTCTCTCAGCTAAAAGAGAGAGAGAGATAGAGAGAGAAGAGTTTTTTTTTTTTTACAAAAATTTTTTTTCTATAAATAAGAACTATTTTAACGTACAATTGTTTTCCAAAGAAACTTTCGTCTTGAATAAAAAAAATTCCGTCAGAATATAAATAAAGTGCTGTACGTGGCTGACCTTGTATAGACTTGTACTACTTACAAAAATTCTTTCCATTCTCTTTCTATGCGATAAAGAAAGATATAAATTTGATTATATTTTAAATATTAATTCATAAATATTATATCATATATTAAAAAAAAAAATGATCACGGAAAATGGTCTTAAGCATACAGCAATATTCATTAGCAAATCAACAGCCAATTATATTAATGTGAATTAAATTAATTTCTTACGTGTTGTTTGCAGTTTTAATTATCGTAAGCGCAACGAACGAAATCATCGAAGAAAAAATAATTAACGTTTGAACGATAAATTATTTGGAAAACTATAAGAAACGAAATGATATATGTGTTACTATTTGACTATTATTATACCTATATATCTTTTCCTTAACGGCGAATGTTTTTAGTCTCTTTTCGTAGCACGTTTAAATTTTCGTTTCGCTTTTGCTTGATATACACCGATCCATATTATTATTATTATGAATATATATATATGTATATATATATATTCATATAAGATTCATATATATATATATTCTTTATTTTCTTAAATCGTGCCGAACGAAGCGGCATTCCAAGGCCTACTAATTGATTAACTTTACGATTTTATGCTTGACCATTGTGTTTTTTAGAAGTCGTAAATTGAATATGCAATTGGAAAATGCGATACAAGAGGCTATGGCAGAGCTGGACAAAATAAGCGAATCGTCGCATCAGCGAGAAAAGGCAGCATCGGCTGTTAGAAGGTCATCGAAGGTATCTTCGAGTCCTACAACGACTACGAAAAGTCCTGCTGGCAACGTCGTCGCTAAGAGATCATCGAAGAGATCAATGGGAGCAAATTTGGATCACGGGAAAGCCGATCAAAAGCAATGTCGATGATAATTCATCGATCTTCAACAAGGTCTTCTTCGTCATAGATCAAAATGATTCGAAAATACGCAAATCGATTAATTTGAATCTCGAAGGAGATAGATAGCTAGCTAGCAAGCGCATAACTGGTTTCCTAATATAATCCATTCCTACGATTAATTAGATCGAGAAAAACGAAGAAAAAGATAAAGTAAAAGGGAAAAAAAGTAGGGAAAAGAAAATCATAGAATTTTCTTCATTCCTTATCCTTATTTATTCCGTTTAGAGTTTCTGAAAGCTCCTTTCCGATTGATTACCATCGGAGAACACGTTTTACCGATCGCGTTTCTTTGAAACGTAAACGTCGAGACACGCATACCTATCCTGACGTCGTTCGCTTCTTGTCGATAGCCTTCAATTAAGAATTTCTCAGTTGTTCCCAGTTGCGATTGATCGCTGATTAAAGTATTCTCTTTGTCGGCTGTCAAGCGTTCCAAAGGAAAAGGGACGATTAATCGTTACCGCGTTTGCTGACGATGGTCTATATAATAATCCGACGTCTCTCATTCCTCATTCTACCTTTTCTACAAGAAGTATCCTTTTTTTTTTTATTTCTTTCATTTACCTTTTTCCTTTGCGTGCAAAAGTTATCGATAAAAGCCTAAAAGTAGCCTAAGAGTAACGAACGAAGAAAAGGTTTATTGATTGTCGTCACGTTAACAATTGCGAAAGATAGAAAATTATTATATGAAGTGAGTAAACGATAGATCAGAGGTGATCGGAATCAAAGTAATGAGGTCGTGAGAAAAAGAAAAATTAATCTTTTGATGGCACCGTTGGGGAACACTTTTTATATCAGACCGCGCGTCTAACTACTTCTTTGCTTTTCATCGACATCCACTCGCATAATTGATCGTTACTTCCTGGTGTTCGTTTATCCGTTCGTTCGTTTATACGTTGTTCGTTATAACGACTGCGAAACTAACGATCAAAGATATCTCGTTCGTTACGATTTAGCGACTTTTACTGATATAATGAGATCTATTTAAACTCGTGGAAAAAAAGATTTTATTCGTCGTTCGATTAATTTGCGAATTATTATTATTCCAATGGTGCTAGTTTATGGTGAAAACATTATTTCTGCGTACACGTAAAAAAGAAAAAAAAAAAAAAAAAGAAGAAAAGAGAACAAACAAATTCACACAATGTATTCGCGTGATCGGAACAATTATGTATGTAGCATAACTACCGTCGTATAAAAATCAGTGGCCGACGTACGACTGGCCTATATCCAACATTTTCAGATTTCTTCAAAACAATTAATTAATGACTTACGGATTAATAATCAATCAAAGAGCTCCTAGACTCTTTTTATTTTTACGGACTTTTTCATTCTGAAAGTCTGAGCGTGTATATACATATATATATATATGTGCTATGTATATATATATATATATATATATACGTATATAAATACGCTTGTACATAGAATGTCATTTCTATTCGAAACGAAAAAAAAGACACACAAAAACACACATTCGTACGAAACGGATATAGGTGAATTTCCGTCGAATATTATTTATGATATAAATATAAATACTTTCCTCTCGGCAAGGTTCCAAAAATAATAATAATAATAATAATAATAATAAAAAAAAGAAAAAAAAATGAAGAAAAAACCAAATAAAAAATAAACAATTTTCGATAATTATTAATTATATTCATTGCCTTTCCGACTTACGCTTACGAATCGACAAAGATTTTAAAGATACTTTCATCGAATCGTTCTGAATTCTAATTTGTACGTACAAAAATTATTATCCTAAGGATAAGAAAAACATTTCGAATACGATGCGTCAAATTCCTCGAATACTATTTTACCGATAAATATTACTGCATGTACATATATAGCCAAAATAAAATAGTATACGAGTTATCAGTTTTATTAGAATGCTATGTATGTATGTGTAAGCGCAAGCGTAGGCGGAAAGGATTATTTTAATGATACGACTTCGCGTTGTATAACATTATTATAATATCCTAGAAATATTCATTTGACGCGTTCGACCATTTTAAATGGAAGGGATGATGGTTAATGAAAAATATTTTCAATCTCGGCATAATAATTTTGTAAGTACGATTATAAGTACCCAACCCTCCTTACGCTAATCGGATTTGTATATATAGGGGAAAAAAAAGGAAGAAAAAAAAAGAAGAAAAGATGCGATACGTCGCCGACTGGACGTTGTTACGAAGAAAGTATTGTATTTAAGTTTTTTAATTAATCGGAAACAAACTAAACGAACGGAAAAGAAACTTTTAAATTCGCTTTTAAAATGGTGTACCTTAAAACTCGTTGATCACATTTTACATGGAAAAATTAATATAAACCGAAAGGATTCATTGTGTTGAGAACATTTTAGATATTTAAAAAAAGAAAAAAATGAAGGAATGAAAACAAGTTCTTGGATATTTGCTTAAAGAATTTTTATCACTCGTGGTCCTTGATCGTCGAAGTATCTACCGTAAAAAAGAAAGAAAGGAAGAAAGAAAGAAAGAAAGAAAGAAAGAAAGAAAGAAAAGAAAGAAAAAGTAAAAAAAGAAAATGCGTTACTATGAAAAAATTTATATAAGTTGTGTAATTAAACGTACGTTAATGGTAGTTAGAAAAAGGGAAGAGGAAGATTTTGAGTATATCTTGCAGAAATATTTGGATAGATGTAGTATATAAAAGTAAAAATAAAAGAAAAAAAAAAAAAGAATAAAAAATAAAAAGAGTTCGTCGCGATTGAACATACGATAGACAATAAAGGAGACGCAAGTATCAAAAAAAGGAAAAATAATAATAATAATAATTATAATGAAAAAAAAAAAAAAATAAAACAATAATGAAAACTGTCGCGCGCGATTTTTAATTAATGTCTTTCATACACGTCATTATCCGTGAATTTTCTTTTTTTAAAATCGACAAACTTCAAACTTTGCATACCGTGTCCGAAACGTAATTAAACTTAAAAATATAAAACGGGTCTGTAACAATTTTCTAGCGATATATTATATATTATGCTTGTAAATATGTCGATGATAATCACACCTAGAAAAAGAGAGGAAAAAGGTCACAGAAAATTTTTTTTCTTTTTTCGTTTGTCTTCGATAATAAAAAAAGATGCGAGCGTAAAGAAAAGTAATGCGAATGAAGTTGATAGGAAACAAGATTTGTTCAATTTTTCATGAGAGATTTGTAACGTCAAAAGTAATGTCGATTATTCGAAATGAAGCTTTATAACATAACATACATACATACATACATACATACATACATACATATTTATATGTATATATTTGCTTTCTTTATCGGATAAAGTGTCTCCTTAAAAATAAGGAAATATTATATCAGAGCAAATCAAAAAAATTTGCGATATCGCATGTAATACGTGGAGTCTTTCAAAAAGCATAGATTTCGTCTCGTTTTACCTGGTACCTTAGATTTTTGACCTTTTGCTGTCACGCACACTAACCGTACGGTTCGGTTCGTAGAAATTTTAGACGATATCAAAAATGTAAAAGAGCGAGAGAGAGAGAGAGAGAGAGAGAAAAAAAGAGAGAGAGAGATAGAGAGAGAAAGAGAAAGAATGAAAGTAAGAAAATAAGAAAGAAGAGAGAATGAGTGGCAAATGATAAAAAAAAAAAAAAAGTAAAATAAAGTAACATAAAAGAAACAGAAAGAGAAAGAGACGAGTTTGAACGGAAAATTACAAATAAAAAAAAAAAAGAAACAAAATCATGATTTTTGTCGTGATCTCATAATGCTCTTAAGTATGATTTCGATAAGCGAAACACATATCACCGATCTCGACAACGATTTTCAAAAGTCTCTAAGCGTTTTGCACATTATATTACAAAAATGTAGAAAAAAATAAATGAGATGAGAAAACGAAAAAGAATAATAATAATAATAATAATAAGAAGAAGAAGAAGAAGATAAAGAAGGAGAAGATGAAACATATAAATAATGTAAACGGCTGGTATCGCTGTAGTCGCAATGGGACCGTTTTTAAAAATAAGACAAATTCTTATCTTAATCGCTCTTAAAATAATCCCTTTCGCTCTCTCTCTCTCTCTCTCTTTCTTTCTCTCTCTCTCTCTTTCTCTCAATCGTCTCCGATAATATGATCACATATAACGCGAAATAATAAAAAGAAAAAAACGGAGAGAGAACGTAATCAGTCCTCGCAAATATTTTTCTTTTTTCTTTTTTCTATCGGACAACAACAACACACCATGGATGCGACTGATAATTAAATCATTAATTTTTCGATTGCTTTTCTCCCTTCGTAGATATTGAAAAAGAAAAACAAAAACAAAAAAAAAAATGAGAGGAAGTGGGAGTGTGAGAGAGAGAGAGAAAGAGAGAGAGAGAGAGGGAGAAAACGACACGAAACACCGACGGGAGAATGTAATTTAAAAAAGAAATAAAAAAGCAAAAAGAAAGAAAAAAAGAATCAGTAAAGACTTACCTCAATACACATATACTCAAGAATCAAACGTCTTAAATTCGAGAATATATACTGTAGTGCCGATGTCCTTTGTATATTTTCAATACTGTAAATAGATATATAAATACGCCTTATTAAATAATTAATGGTAATTAATCAGCAATCACGCCGTACAACGGCTGGTCGATTTTTGCGCATTGTCGAAAATCGAACATGGTGCGTTTTACTAAAAAAGAAAGGAAGAAGAAAATAAAATCCGAGAAGGGGAAAGAAAGAAAGAAAGAAAGAAAGAAAGATAGATAGAAAAGATGGATAATAGAAAGAGTATTACATGTGATCGGATAATTAACGTTTTTTATTAGGGAAAAAAAAAAAGAACGGAAAGTGGAGCGCGAGAAAAAAAAACAAAATAAATTTTAAATTAAAATAAAGATGGCCTATGTTGTTAAAATATCTCGAAAGTCGTCTACATTTACGTTACGTTGCATCTTCGGCTATGTATGACGATTCGTCTAAAGATTGTTCACGAGTTAATTATGCGTTAGTCGAGAGAGAAAGATAGAGAGAGAGTGAGAGAGAGAGAGAGAGAGAGAGAAAGAGAGAGAGTGCGTAAAATTGCGTGTGCGAGAGAGATCGTGATAAAAGAAAAATTAAAAAAAAAAAAAAAAGAGAACAAAATTTTTTCGTGATATAACGATAGTAATTAATCATTGAGCGAATGAGATAAATCGACGAGTTTTTTCGGCGAATATTTATTGCTATTATTATTTATAATACGGTAGAATATTTACGGAGCGTTTCGTTCGCTTGTTGAGTTTTGAGAGAAATATAAAAGATAAAAAAACGAGATAAACGTGCGTAAAATGTATAGAATATAGAGAAAGGAAAAGGAAGAGAAAGAGATATTCTTTCTTTAATGAATTGGGAAATATCTAATCGAAAAAGATACCAAGAAAAAAGGGAGAGAGAGAGAGAGAGAGCTTGGTCAAACTCGTAAAACAAAACGACTTACCGTGATTGCGTTAATGAATAAACAAATAAAGGAATGCGACGAGTGTACTTTCGGTGTATAATATAAATATTAATATTATACATATTATATCAATTGTCAGTGGTATTATACTAAGAGATGATAATTTTATATTTACAAGATAGAAGGGCCGTTAAATCTAAATGAGTGTAATATACATATGTATTATGAATTCCCACCCTTCCCCGATTCTAGGGAGAAAGTTAGCAAAGCTATCTTATTTAATAATATTTGGCATAATATTTATATATATAAATATGAATATAAATATATAAATACAAATATAAATATATAAATATATAAAT